AGTTTCAGTTTTATTGAATTAAGAGTATGGCCATATGCTGATGGTAATGATTTCCATTTAAAAGTGTAGATAAAGGGGAAAAAAATAACAAAAAATTTGGTTCAATGTAAGGTTGCCTCTTATTGAGGGAAATTGTACATTTCAGGCAAGGTTTTTTTTTTTTCCTAATAGTCATTCTAACCATTCTGTTCCAAAGAAGGCAAATATTAGTAGTGGATTTAAAATGAATCTGTAACTAAATATTTCAAACATATTTTGCAAAGAGTACCTGTGTATACTTTTACAAGTCTGCAAAATGTCTTTCATGGCCTCATCAAAAATGGCAATATTTGGCCCATATGTTGGTGATCTCTTGTGCAAACATGGTCTGCATGCTCAGCTTTTTGGAACTATTGGTATACAGTAGGGATGCACCAATGCTTTTCGAGTACCAGTGCCGATACTTGGCATTTTCATGAGAACTACCAGGGTTGCAGCGGTTGCATCTTGGACCTGGCTCTGGTGCTCCAGCACTTTCCTGAAATCATTCGTCGATATTGTTTTAGACAAACTGTCACATGACAATAAACAGAAATGTATGCGGAACTTGTAAGTACTTGGGCAAGTATCAGTACTGGTATCGGTGCATCCCTTTATTTATATTTGTAAAAACAAAATCCTACATTAAAACAGAGATGTACAAATCCCAGGAGCTCTGTGTCCTACTTACAAATGACAGCTGCCTCCTAACTTTTAGGAGGCAGCTGTCATTTGTAAGGAGCACACTGAAAAGTATCGGTACTTGTACTGAGTACTGTACTTGGTATCAGTGCAGCCCTAGTATACAGGGTATTGTACATTTTTGTGCAGTGTTTTCAGATATAATCTTTGTACAAGCTTATGTGTTAGTGCAGTATTTACACTTTTGCACTTTTAGCCTTTTGTTACTATCATATCTGTGCTGTTATACTGAGTGAGCCTTTATGATCTACATCTAAACCTCTTCTAAATATGTGATTAATTTTGTAGGACTCAAAAAAAGTAGCAAAAGTGGTAATTCGAAATGATAAAAAAAGAAAAATAATAGCTATGGGGAAAGAAAGTTTAATTGGGGCTAATTAGGGTTAACTAATAGTTAATAAGGAGTTAGCTGGAAATATGATTGTTTAAAGAAAAAACAATAGCTTGTAAAGTTTCTTTAAGTGAGGTCATTGTATTGATTTTTTTTTTCATTTGTAGATCACCTTTTGATATGTATGTTTAAAATAGTAAATACAATTTAACAATACATTGATTAATTGTATTTACTCAATGTCACTTGGAAACCGCAAGTGTCATTTTACTAAGAAGCAGCTGAATTTTGACGGCTGCTGCTGTGTAATAAAAAACTAGTCTTTTTTTTTAGGTATTTTCTTTCAATAGTGGAGTCTTACTTTGAGTCTGATGTCCCTCCAAAATGATGGCTGGTGCAGTCAGACGCTGATGTACCTTGTCCTTGGAGTTAAGCTTGTATCTCTTTGGAAGTTTCCCATGTCTCCTTTTTTCTGCCAATCGCACCTTCCTTCTGTTCTGGTGATGATTTCCATTTTGCAGCCTACATGAGGGCTACACCTCCATGGACCCTGAACTTCTTAATATTAATAATATTTGCAACTGTAGTTGCAGGAACGTCGAACACATTGAAGATGGTGTTAAAGCCAAAGGCATGCCAGGTATACGTGAGACTATTGCTTTTAATTTAATCAATTTCCAGGAGAATGGAAGCATTGTTTCTGTGAGCTCTAAGGGTACCAACGAATTTGGCCACATCTATAATTGCTGGTAATAGCAGGAGGAGCTGGGCTTTAGAGATGCATCCTTAAAATCGCGGTTGAAGTTTTTAAGACTTATCTCTAATGTTCTACATCCTGAAGTGGTTAAGATACACTGCCTGTCCAAAAACAGTCACTCACTCTAATATTTTGTTGGACGGCCTTTAGCTTTGATTACAGTGCACATTTGTCATGGCATCATTATGATAAGTTTATAGAATGTCACAACATTTATTTCCATCCAGAGTTGCACTATTATTTTTTCACCAAGATCTTGTACAGTAGTGATGATGGGAGATTCGGGCCACTGTGTAAAATGTTCTCGAACACATCCGAATGATACTTAATAGGGTGAAGGTTTGGACTCTGTGGTGGCCAATCCATGTGTGAAAATGATGTCTCATGTGCCCTGAACCACCATTTTGCAATTTTAACCCAATGAATCCTGGCATTGTCATCTTTGGTTATGTCTGTGCCATCAGGGAAGGAAAAACCTGGTAATTCAGTATATTCAGGTAGGCCTCATTTTTTGGACACATAACATTCCTGAACCTTGAAATATTATCCAATGGAAGTTCTTACCTATTTTCTTAGCTAAATCCAGGTAGTGACTTTCTCTTCCGTTCATTGAAGGACACAGCCAGATCCTTAGGATCTTCACCATAGGGGTTTTATATCACCACTTACAGGTGTGGGACGCTTCTACTCCTGTAGGTGGTGATATAAAACCCATATAGTAAAGATCCTAAGGATTCGGCTCTGTCCTTCAATCAACGCAGAGAAAAAGATTTTCACGGTGAGCACAAAAATCCTATATTTTTTTGGACAGGCAGTGTAGGTGACAATCAGTCAGTTAAAGTGTCAAAGGGTAGAGTTCACCTGAAGTCTTAAAGTTATTGCTCTGTTTGTTGCTCGATTTCCCACACTGTTTTCCAGCTACGAATTCATAAAAGAAAGAAAATAGTTATTTAGTAATTTACTTTCCCCCTAGGTACAAGTTTGACATGGTTGTGTATGTAAACACTAGGGATGCACCGATACCGTTTTTTCGGTTACGAGTACCAATATTTTTTTTTTCCCGGTGCATCCCTAGTAAGCACAAATAGTCTGTTATTTGCACCATGTTAGTTAATTAAGTATAACTTGGATAGTGTTTTGCTATATCTGTGCAATAAATGCAAAAATTACCAGTTGATCCTGCTAGAAATATTGTCATCTGAATTCCTAAGACTTACGGTGTAATTTGCCTCTGCTGTTATCAGTAATCATTGTTCCCAGCTTTCCACCTGGACTAGAAAACGTCTCCACTTATGTTATAAAGAAGAGAGGAGTGGTAGGTGTTCTGTAGTCATTTTGAATTAAGGATGGTGTTTAATTTTTATTCGATTTATCAAACAAAAAATCAGCCAACTAATTGATTATGAAAATATTAGTTAGTTGCAGCCCTACTGTTTTTCATATAACCATAAGTACTAGGTTTTTCTTAGACTCCAGCAGGGTAGCGTAGCAGCAACTAATAGTTGTTAAATTTTTTTTTACTTAATTATATCGTATAGCTAGTGTACCCCCCTACACTGTGTACATTTATGGTGCAGGCTATGCCACACTTTTCCAAATAATAAAAGATGTTTCTAAAAAAAAAATAATGTACGAAGTGACAAACATTAGTACCCTTGAACATACTCATGGGTGTGCGACTTTGCAGGACTGAAAAAATATCTTCCATGCAGCCCCAAATCCCAGCATTGTTGTAGAAACTAATTTAAGAAAGGTCCCTGGTGCAATAAACACATTATTTTAGAGTTAAAATTTTATATCTAATTATCCATGCAAGTGAAAAGCATCCACACGTGATTGGATATTTAAGGTTAACAGGTATTTGCTATTTATGTAATTGCATAATTGAAATAAATATGCACATGTTTTATGACTATTCACAACTCCATAAGAAAATCGGCATACTTTTTTAGGTGCTTTTTTATAGTGACAGCCGAAGTATTGCTTTAGTTTCCATTAAATCATAGGGTGTTGCAGTGTGTGTTTGTCTGTTTGTGTGTGTCAGTGTCACTTATTTCATTGTAGCTTAAAATAAAGCTTGTTGTAAAGGAAAAATAAACTTTTTTTGTTTAGATCTACATAGTTGGCAAATACATCATTAGGACTACGTAATACATGTATAATAATGATAGAAATCTTTGCAAGTATGCATTATGTTTTTGTGTTGTTTTTGGTTATTGTCTCTTTAATCTCTGTGAACTCTATTTTAGTAAAGTAAAACAGAAGCCAAAACTTTTTTTTTTTTTTTTTTTCGTTTTGCATAGAGTAAGGGAGGGCTATAACGCCTGTCAGCTTTTTTTTTTTTTTTGCCTTCTGTGTCCTGTTGGGGAGATTTCCATTTAATTACTGACTGATAGCCACAACAGGCCATTAAAAGAAATCACACAGAAGAGAGGGGAATCCCTGGTCAGCAGGGTCACCAGAACTAGTATCCCCATTGGAATATTCCCCATCTATTCCTATATTGATGACAGCCCAATATTTGGTATTTTCTTTTGCTTTTATTGACCAGGACAAATAGTAATGATCAATCTCCCTAACAGTGACACAGACAGCAATAAAACCCTAAAAGGGGTTCTGATCCCTCTTCATTCTATCCCCAAAAAAAAGATTTCGGCTTCCGTTGCAAGTATTTAATATTTAGTATAACATACTTATGCAATTTGCAGTCCCTGGAACAGAAAAGGCATACCATTTAATTGTTGCTATAGGGCTTGTTCACACCAGCCAACCATGCTGAATGGCTGTTGGTGTGTACTGGGAGGAGCAGTACTGATGCGCGGATCCTGCATAAAGATTTTAGAACTTTATTGAAATTTCAATAAGTACTATTCACTACAGATGCGATGGTCCACTTCCCGGGGCTGAAATGCGCTGTGCAACGCTTCCCGGGGCAGTCCCAATGCATCTGGTGTGAGCAAGCTCTGAAATGAGTCTAATAGGCCTGCATGCTAACATAATGTGCGTGTGTAAGGATTTTAGAAAAGCCAGACGTTGTTGATATACTCTTTTACATCTTTTTTTTTTAATTCTTACTCTACACTCCAGTCACCAGTTACTACTGAATTTATTTTTAATGTGTTGAGTGAAAAAAAACAATAACAGAGCCATATGTGTGTATTTTTTCCTTTTTTTTTTATTTTTTTATTTTAGGAAGAATCGTCAGGATTTTACCCCTCGGTATGTTCATTTCCCTACCAATCCATTTCTTCTGATCTTCAGTTTTGGATATTTTTAATTATTGTTTTTTTTTTTCTTTATTGCTCTGTATAATACTATTTAATACCTACTTTTTTTGCAATTTGAATATTGTTCCTGATCTTGCAACTCAAATGAAATTAATGATTATAATTGGCTCTAAGAATATTGTTCATGCCAAAGATTACTTCTTTCTAGTCATTTCTCACTGGCTATTGACAACTTTGACTGATTCCCTCCTAAGAGACCCTATCACCAAACTAAAAAGTTGCAGGTAAAAGCACAGAAAAAAAAAAATTTAAATGCTTACTTGCAGTGTTTCAGCAGCAGTTTCAAATGGCTTGGATGTCTGCATAAGGGAGGCTAACTAACATAAATTTGTTAAATGCCCAAAATCCAATGGGAAGATCATTGTTGAGAAGAATAGTCTGGTGACAGGGTCTCTCTGGAATGTATCAAGTAGACTTTAGTGGATGTTTCCTAGTTTAACAAGGTACATAATTTTAAAGATGAGTCTTACCTAGAACCCATTGTGGAACTGTCTGGCCAGCGCATTCTCTTTTTTAAAGCAGAACTCTAGGGAAAACAATTACTAACCCTTACAGTGGGGCTAGGGATAACTGCTTGTTTTGGTGTAGTGAGGAAAATAAAACTGTATTCTCCTGATCCTCTGAGCCGCCTGGCTGACGGCTCCCTCCAGCCTCTTTCGCTGCAGCAATGAAATGCCTCTTGCTGTCCTCACGTTCTATACACAGTGTATAGAACATACTTATGGGATCTTAGATCACTACAATGGAGGGGGAGAGAGGCTCCAGGGACCAGTCTAAGAGCTGGCTGGCTCCAAGGATCAGTAGAGTATAACTTTATTTTCCTACCTAGACTTAAACGACCACTTAACCCTTGCATTGCGGGGTGTAGCCCTATTGCAAAGGTTGTTAATAATTTTCCCTGGAGTTCTTTAAGCACTCCATCCACTCTTACAAGGTATGGTAGCCTTCGATCTCTGGTGTATGGATCACTTACCTAGTTAATGACCTGGCTACCTCTGATCCATATACCTTAATTCAAAGGCTGCCTCCTCTTATTAATGCAGATAGCATGGCAGAAAGAAAAGCCTGTAAAACTAGGAACACTCCATTAACGGTATATTTAGTTGTTCTTTACTGTGTCAAAGGGGACGGATCATGAGCACATCCCTTGTCACACCATAGACAGGATGAAAGTGGCACTAAGCGTAAAAAAACATTTTAATATACGGAACCTGCATGCACATGTGTGAATTCTGACTTTTCCTGGTGAAGTTGAGCACTGGCCTGCCTTCCCACACCTCATTGAGGGGCCATGACTGGGTGGACTAACTGACCAACAGTGAAGCATGAGAAGGCAGACCAGCACTTGAATCCACCTCTGGGTACATTAATATAACATTTTTTTCCTAGTGTTCAAAGAGTTCATATTGCTTTTTACTCTTACCTTGCCACCTCCGTAAGGCATACGGCAGAACAACACTGTTCCTGAAACGCCAGGTCGGTATGCCTTACGGCCGCTGGCGGGGAGGTGGAGAGAAGGCGCAGCTGTCAGGATGGCAGAGAGATGAGATGGGAACCGCTGTCATCCTGTCAGTTTCAGGACGACAGCGGCTCTGAGCGTGGCCTAGCAGAGGTTCGGTAAATATCAGTGATGTGTGCAGAGCAAACACTGGAGTGATCGTCTGATCACGCCAGTGTTTGTAAATAACTGAGGACAGATAGTACTTTGGTCCCCAGTTATGAATGAACAGGATGTGATTTACATCACTTCCTGTTCATTCATGAGTTTCTGAATGGAGAGAAACACTCAGTACAGAGGCTTTTCCCCATTCAGAACCTGTTGGTAGTAAATATTTTGCACGTGTAAGTACACCCGGCCGGTACAGTGAAACTGCCAATGGCTCTTTAAATCAGTTATGGTTCCTTTGATCGCTCATATCTTGTGTTTTGAACAAGTACCTGAATAAATAGACATACTGGATTTTGCTTTGGAGTGCCGGTGTCCATCCTTATACTTTGACGGAAGCCACCCGTTGACACCTGAAGCACCCAATTCTTACCTCATGGAGCAGCGGTTCTGAGTGCGATGGGTACATGGACTGTATCCAAAGCTCAGTATATCGTGAGCTACAGCTCACGGTATACTGAGACCGCCGCAGCCGGGGCGGAACTGACATTACTGTCGAGATCCACCCAGCTGCGTAAGTGACAGCTGGCTCTGCCTATCCGCCCCCTCCCCCGTCCGTCCTGCAGTCAGCGCTGGAGGAGCAGGCAGGGGGGCAATTCCTGCAGGGAGCCGTGAGTGACAGTCACGGCTCTCTGCAGGCACATGATCGAGAAGTGAGCGAGCGACGGTATGTGTTAGCTCACTTCCCGATCTATTGAGCCGACGTGTGACAGTTTCATTGTCACACGTCGGCTCGAACTATGAGGCTGAGTGAAATTCACTCACCTCATAGTTCTTCTTTAATGCCAGATGGGGACTAACAAAGGCTGGCACACGCCAAAAAAAATGCACCAGTTTCTCTATATCTAACTAATTAGCACTTTCTGTGGCAAATTATTAAAACTGGCGCATTCCAAATTTCTGCATGGCCAGATTTTTACCACATGCATGTTGATTAAGACTACCTTTATACATCTCAGAACTCCATTGGACCCTTATAATTTAACCGCCCTGGTGGTAATCCCGAGTGTGGCTCGGGGGTAATTTTCAGTACCAAAAGCAGTAACCCTGAGCCACACTCGGGATTACTCTGTATTTTCACTTATCTTGTCCCTACGAGCCCCGCTGTGTCCTCTCGCTGTGTCCCCCGGCCAATAGCAGCATCTGTCTTCCGGGTACGTTCCCTGCAGGGGGGCGGAACCGGACGGAAGTTCAAAAGTGAAAACATCCGATACACACACAATACATTGTAACCTGTATTATTACATTACTGTAACCTGTATTATTACATTACTGTATCAAACACTTTGACCTCAGATTTGTCCCTAGAGCTTTGCCCTGCCTGCACTTTTATCATTCTTTTTGCCTGGAAACTTGAGAACGTCCATGGCATCCAAAAAGCGTCCGCTGAGGTCAAGTGGTTTTAGACCAGCTTGAAAAAAATGGGTATAGTGATTTAGAATCACTTGTAGAATTGAGCGATAGCGATTCGTGGGGAAATTCGTCGTCAGACACTGAAATCGACGACAGCGACGATTCTGCAACTGAGCGCAGTGTTGAGCAAGCTTGGTGCTCTATTGACTGTGGTACGGATCAGGCAGCGCCCCCAAGATTCCCATTTACTGAAGCATCTGGTCTGAAAGTAGATGTTGAACACGACAACCCTTTGGCATACCTACAATTATTTCTGACCGACGAGGTTATTGAAGAAATAGTAACCGAGACAAACCGGTACAATGAGCAACAATTAGCTACTCTGCATTGGAAGTTTTCCAGAAGCAGAAAGTGGGAACCAGTGACCAAAGATGACATTTCTGGGCCTAATAATACTTCAGGGAGTGGTGGGAAAACGCCTGCAGAAGTGGTATTGGACAACTAATATCACTTGCCACTCCATTCTTTGGCACAGTCATGTCAGAGTACAGATTTTACCTCCATCATGAAGTTTTTACACTTTGCAAACAATGAAGAATTTAATGAAACTACTCATCCTGCACCAAAACTAAAGAAAATTTGAAAGGTATCTTAAATGATTCTAAAGAATTTTCAACTGAGCTATGTCCCAGAAAGAAACAACAGCATAGATAAAAGTCTAATGGCCTACAAGGGAAGGCTCAGCTGGGTACAATACATAGCATCAAAGAGAGCACGATTTGGCGTAAAATCCTACATGCTATGCGAATCATCAACTGGCTACATTTGGAATTCAGTCATATACACTGGAAAAGGAACAAAATTGAATCCAAACTACAGCAACTATGGAATGGCAACATCTTGTTCTTTCACTCATTTGAGCCATTGCTAAATCAGGGCTATTGTGTAACAAATGAACTTTGAGTTTCTTCTACAAAACAAAACAGATGCCTATGGAACCGATAGGGCTAACCGGCGCGACATGCCTTCAATGTTTGGCAATAAGAAGCTGAAGACTGGAGAAATGGTTGCCTGGCAGAAAGGCAAAATGATAGCACTGCGATGGCGTGACAAGAAAGATGTGTGCCTAATGAGTACAGTTCATAATGCCTCCACTGTTATAGTATCATGAAGAAGTCATGAAGCCACAAGTAGTGATAGACTACAATAACACCATGGGAGGTGTCGACAGAGCCAACCAAGCAATTACATTCTACCCAGCAATGAGGATCAGAAAGAAGTACTACAGGAAGATCTTCAGGCATCTTCTTGAGCAATGCTTGTGGAATGCCTACGTTCTGCTCAAACAGAGTGACAAGCCTGTGATTCATTCTGACTTCATTTGGAAAGTTGCCGAACGGTTCTTTTTGAACCACCAAACACCATCAATGGCTGTGAATAGAGCTGGACGTCGTGCTGTTGGCGTTGTCAACCCGGAACGCCTGACTGGTTGTCACTTCATGGATTACATCCCACCAACAGAGAAAAAGTCAGCACCTACAAGGATGTGCATGGTTTGTTGCTCGAAGTGCGATGACAGTGGAAAAAAAATCAGAAAGGAAACCAGGTTCCATTGTTCTGATTGTGACGGACTTTGTACTGTCCCATGTTTCAAAATGTATCATACCCGGGATGTTTACTAAAGCAATATGCAGTGTCTAGTATTACAGTGACTAGTAATATTGCACCTTTTGTTTGGACAAATGTCAGTGTTTTTGGTTTGATTACATTATTGAATTCAATTTATTATTTTTTATAATTTTCTAATGATTATATTATTTATGATTTCGTGTTTCAAACTTTATCATACCCAAGATGTCTACTAGACTCTCTTGTTTGGACAGATTTAGGTGAGTTAGTCTTAAGAATTACAG